GGGGGACCACCCTCGAAACACGATTGGGCTAGTTTTGAGTAGCAATTGGGCAGGTTTTGTTGTGACAACCTGGCAACCCTAGCATGCACCTTTACATAAAACAATAATATAGTGCTCCAATCAGTTCTTAAAATAATGACATAAAAACATTTTGTTTAACACTTATGCAAGCGAATCGTGCCCACAGCTAAAGTTTAGCTGCTAAACTGTAAACACTTAACAAAACAATAATGGTGGATACGTTAGCCAAGTGCTAATGTGACTAACTGATGAATCAATACAGTTTGAAAACCAAAATATGTCTAATGTCTGAAGAACGACAGACAAAAGACGCTCCGTGTCTTAACCTTTAATTATAATGCAGAACAGCTGTATCACATGCGCACCACCCTAACTAAAGGCTGATTTATACTTCTGCGTCGGACCTACGCCGTTGCCTTTACGCCGTAGGCTATGCGTCAGTTTTCATTTATACTTCTGCGTCGTTGTCCGCATCAACGTGCAGTACACATGCAAACCGCTAGTCTGCAGTGTCCACGGGCATGTTGCTGGTGTAACCCGCAGTACCGCGGCAAAAGCCGAAGAAGAAGCGGCTCGTCGAGGTTGTGGTTCGGAGACGCTTGTTGGTCCAAATAAAGAAGATTAGAAGCCAACGAAGATAAAAGGCAAGATTAGAGAAGCAGTCCTCGGTAAAATGACGAGCACAACAAAAGGTTAGAATTGTATTGCTGTGGTATCGTGGAACACAGCATCTTCTCGACACAGAGAGTGTTCGTATTTCGCGGGCAGGCTGGGATTATGCTAATGTGTTACCCAGTGACGTAGATAGGTAACAGGCAGAAGATTCAAAAATATAACGACTCGTTAAGGCGATTCTGAGTCGACTCTTTCTTTTGAGTGACAATATCTTTATTCATCATGCACTTTTTTGATTAACAACTTTGCAGACTGTTTACACGGAAGGGCAGACTGTTTACACTGAAGTATAGCTACCTTACAAACTGCAAAAGAGATATTTTTCGAAAACCCATATGACCTGCTCTTTAAATTGTGTTCCGAAGATGAACGAAGGTCTTACGGGTTTGGAACAACATGAGGGTGAGTAATTAATGACAGAATTTTCACTAACCCTTTAATGCTAATGATAAATTCATTATATTTGTAATATATTATATATACACTACTGTGCAAAAGTCATAGGTCATTAGTATTTTCACCAACAAAATAATGATTTTAAGTCAGTTATTTCATCACACATATATCTTTTGCTGTAGTGTGTCAGTAGGAAATCAGTTTACATTTCCAAACATTCCTTTTGCTATTAATTGTAATAATCCAATGAGATTTGCACAGTAGTGTATATTGTAAAATATTTTTAAAGGGGTCACATGATGCGATTTCAATTTTTCCTTTCTCTTTGGAGTGTTACAAGCTCTTGGTGCATAAAGAAGATCTGTAAAGTTGCAAAGACTAAAGTCTCAAATATATATATAGGTGTGTGTGTGTGCGTGTGTGTGTGTGTGAAACTAAGATGAATGCAAAAATTTCTTTTCTAAAGAGCTGTTTTGAACTACATTTTTAAACGACTTCTCCTTTTCATCATCCCAGACGTCCTTATATTTCATTGACCCTGGCACTTCTGCCATGCAAGTGAGCCCAAGTGTTCCTTGAGTCTTTTCTAAACGTTGGTGGTGGGCTCTACTCCAGGTATAGTCATAGATAGGGATGAGCTGGTGTTTAGGTGTAAGAGCTCTTTAGATGATCGATGCTGGGACACTCACAGCACCTGAGACTAATGAAAGGGCTCTGCTTGACCGAAGACGTCCTGATTGGATGACATACAGTTGGATGAATATTATTGATTTGTGAGCACTCACTCTAGACGGTGTGTGAGTTTAAAAAAAACCTACCTCAGTCTGCTGATAGCTCTTCATGATTTGTGTTTACAAAAGTTAATGAAACCCAAAGTTCACATGAAACGTCAAATATTTTTCTCTCATTACTTTTTCCTCACGTCGCTTAGTGTTTTACCTGCATGTTCTATTTCGAAATTGAGTCCGGCTTTAATCCTTCATTATCAGGGAGAACTTTCCAGGTGCATACATTAGCCACAGCCAAACACTATTATGCTCTCTTAATCAAACATGTTATTAATCTCTTTCTGCTATAATACTGATTATTCACCACCTGTACATTCATTCACAACACTATGACTATTGAGAACAGGGAAGAGGACATTCACTGTAGTATAATGATCTAAAGCAGTGACAAGTCCATGTATGTGTTTTTGGTGAGAAATGACAGGAACTGATAAGGGGGGAATGGGATGAAGACATCAGGTGGGGCAGAGTCAAGTCATCTGTGAGTAACTGTCTCTTGAGCATGTGTGTTAACCACCAGACACAGGGTCTTGTGGCAAAAATGCCACCAAAATGAACAAAAATTCCCCACAAATTTAAGATAAAGGGGAAAAAAATTGTCCCTGCACAATTAAACAATCGTTTACGGCTGTCGTGATTAAAAAGAGATGTGAAAATGAATGAAAAGTGTCTATTCACTGTCTATTAGCTCCTGTTTTTAAATGTAAACAATTGCTCTCACAAATGTAAAAAATGCTCCTGGAAATCAATTCCATGGGGGCAAAATTGCCCTTTAATGGAAAAGTTAATTTCTGCCCCTGCAAGGTACGCTTACTGCAGAGCATGTGAGCGGAGCGGAGCG